CACTTTAAATGCACACATGCTGCCCTTTGAGAAACTGAGTTTTTTCTTAATCAAAAAAAGCAGAGCTGAGTTTTTGGAGCCTTCATTGCAGAGGAGAAGCAGCGCAGTGCAGGAGTGGGTTGGGCTGCTGGGGCCCTGCATGAAGTCCCTCTCGCTATGGAGGGCATCTTTAGCAGGACACAGTAACCCAAGCACGGCTTGACTTCTGTACTTTGGCATCTCTAACACCTCTTTTTTTTTTTCCTCCCCTTTTAAATTCAGCCTGCAGGATACAGTCTTTTAAGAAACCATGCACAAGCTCATCTTTTTTCATGCCAGCACAGCCTTTCCTCCCTTTCCCTTGCTCACTACTCTTTTCAAGGTCTAAAAGAAAACACTATTCAGATACTTCCTCTTTTTTTTTTTCCTCCCCTTTTAAATTCAGCCTGCAGGATACAGTCTTTTAAGAAACCATGCACAAGCTCATCTTTTTTCATGCCAGCACAGCCTTTCCTCCCTTTCCTCTTCTCTCTTTCCTTTTCTCACTACTCTTTTCAAGGTCTAAAAGAAAACACTATTCAGATACTTAAAGGTTATAGTTAACTTTTTAGTTCAGCAGTACTCAAAAGACAGTATTTCTGCTAAAAGGAAATAAAATAAACAGGGTATCCTGTGATGTTTAAAAGTACAGCAGCAGATTTCTGTGAGACTTTACTGAAGGTTTTCTCCTGTGTTTGTACAAGTATTCCCTAATTATCTCAGGAAACTAATAGCTAGGTTAAATAGGTTTTAAATAGGTTTAAATTCTGCCTTAAGTATATTAGGGAACGGTGCACCTCTGCAGTGTAGAGAAAGCAGTAACTCCAGGAGAGGCAAGATGACAAATAGCAAGTGAATCTCAAGCTGCTCACAACCTAAATATCTCTCCTCAGCCCAAAGCAACAAAGCTCTCTAATTATTTTTATCTATGCAAGGTGAAATCAAATGACATTACAACACAAATCTCACTAATACCTTATGCAGGGCCAATGTTTAATAGCACAAATTAGTTATGAAACTACTGCAACAGACTTCAGTGTGGTCTTGATTGTTTAAAAGCTGACAATGATTTTAAGGGACAAGTTTTATCCTTGTTCTGTCCTAATTATTTCAACATATTAGCACCTGAGGAATATTTGACTCAGCCCTTTCCCTCCCCCAACTTTAAATCCATTATTTATTCACAGGCCAACCAGGATTATATGACAAACCACTTCTTTCCCGCTGTAAGAGAGCCATTAAAAATAAAAGGAGAATTTAGTTAGTTATTGACAGAAGCACTGGGAGGGAGCGGGAAGCTAAATGACTTGCTGCAAAATGAAATTGTGGAAAGTAAGAAGTCAATCAAAACACTGCCTCAGGTCATCTCATCTGCCCTCCAGCCAAAGCAGAGATATTGTTGAGCACCTCTGCCTCAAGACCTCTCCAACTGCCCTAAGATCTCTCCAATTGGGCTCATGTTTTTGGTGTCAGAAATACAGGAAATTATTTTACTGTCTCCTAAAGCTCCCGTTCCAAAGTTCTGCAAACATCCACATGAGCATCAGTATCTAAAAGAGCTTCATCACTGCAAGGTATGCCTATCTTGTGCTACTTTCTGCACTGCTGCCATGCCAGCCACAGTGTTGCAATGAATCTCTCTAATTTTCTCACTGCCTGGGTGGTTATTTGACAACATGCACGAACTAGCACCTAGCACATTCCCCACTCCTCCTTCTGTACTCACAGAGAGCAAGGCTTACACTCAAACTGCTGGTCCTGTCCTTAAAAAAAGGCAATTAGCCTTAAAATGAGAAACGTATAATATCTAGAGCCCAGCTATTATAATTCCTTGTTCGGCTACATTTTATGCAAAAATAAGAAAATGCCAACAAACCTATGCCTCCCACAAAAAGCCCAGCTGCAAATACACCTCTCCGGGACACCAAACTCAGAGCAAGCGTCTCAATTTGCCAGTTGATGGATGCAGCTCGGACCCAAACTGCTGCAGCTCAAACCACAAGCTCTCTACAGCTCGCATTAGAGAGCCACCACGCTCCAGCCCAGGCTGTGAGCAACTCCCACCCCCTGCAGCTGGGTCTGGGAACATGGGGAGCACAGGGCACAGAGCAGCCAGAGAAAAGCTCTGTCACAGCAGGGTGACAAATGGGGCTTGTTTGCCTGCAGACCCCGTTCTCCCCTTGCTTGCTTGGGAAGTGACTCCGCAGTTCCACCTTCAGCCATCCACCCCCGGCTTCAGGAACTTCAGCTGCCTCACCAGGTTCCAGCTCCAGGCTACAGAAATCCCTGTCCTCTCATAGCTCATCTCTGGAGCAAAGAGGAAAGTTAAGCTGAAAAGCCAGCAAGGCTGGCTCAGCTCTGGCTCTTCCCAGTTCCCCTCATCCCACCAGTCTTTGGGTTCCCCCTGGACACGAGGTTGGGTGACATCCAAGCATCCCAGGGCAGCAACACTTCGGGGACAGGCAACTGAACACAGTTCAGGGCACACAGGTGATGCTCATAAAACTCATTTGCAAGGATGTGATTTCTGGCTTCACTAGGAAGTCAATAATTGGCATCATACTCCATTTCATGAGGAACAGGACTAAAAGAAAAGAAAACTCTGCAGAGTATGACCATGAGATCACCTAATCCTAAATTTCCCTTCAGAAACTGCACACAAGTGAAAAATGGGGGGGAAAAGTAAAAGATCTGAGGAAATGTTTAGTGCTGCCTTCCTGGGACATTTTCTTTGCTTCCAACAACCAGCATTTTGGAGAATTCTTGATTCAGAGTAAACACATATATTGCCTTTAGGTCTTTGTGGGACAAGAGGAAGGGTCCCCTAGTTCATTTGGGTTTTTTCACAGCAATCATTGAGTGAGTTTCAGCTTTTTGTTCCTTTTCATATGTCTGTATTTCAGTTTCTGAAAGTCGAAGTTTATGCTGATTAATACAATAGTGTATATTTCTGAGGTACATTTTTAATCCACCTCCTGATATGGTATAATATAGCTTGAAAATACTAACATACATTGTCACAAATCTTTCTAAATCAAAAAAAATGTAATAAATTTTGAAAAACATACAAATATGTATAAAAATATATATGTGTTGTTATAAAATACACATGTATTGCTATTTATGCCTGTTTTGTTCAAGATATATACATATAGAAAGAAGAAAACAGAATTCTAAACTATGTGCATCACAAAAATTGTGATATTCAAATGCAAAATCCCTGGCTATGGATTCTTTGCTTGCTCTCACCAACTTCTATATCAGTATCTCCCAGAACAATTCCCAGGCTACATTTTCAAATTACCACTTCATATCCAGTGCCTTCTATGCCAAGCTAACAAAACCACTGCTATAAAACTTCTCCTTTTACAGCCAAGATGGGAAACACTCTATTAAATTCTCTGTTCCCTCCCTTGTAAAATAAAGAGGAAAACGCCATTCCAGGAAACAAAAATGTTAAAAAAAGACCAACCAAAGGCAACGCCTGCCTGCACTGTTGTTCTTCCCCTTTGAGTCAGTAGTAAAGAGGAAGGAAGGAAAAAATCCAGTTAAAATAAATGCAAGGAGGTGTGGATGCAGCATGTTTATCCCACTGGAAGAGGGGAAGCTGTAAAGCACCATTCCTTGCACATGGACACCCCAACACCGCCTGGGTGTTTACAAACACTTTGAGCAAACCAAACAGGGAGTTTCATTGTCCCCACTGCACTCATGTCACCCTCTCCCCAGCACTGCAATTCCAGGGAGAGCCCTGCCAGAGGACACACAGTGCCAGTTACACAAGAGAAGCGCAGAAGCAAATATGCAGCAGAGGGGAGGAAAAAACTTAAAAATATCAACTCAGCTGCACACTCTCTTGCTGCTCTCAGAACAGCCTCCAAGTGGGGCTTTGGTGAAGATTAACTTTAAAAGGCACTGAAAGATACTGACAGACTTGAAGCGAGCAGGACCCCTCTGAGTGCACACATTTCATTGCCATCAGCACAAAATGAGGTGTCTGGGGTCCACGAGCAATTGCAGAAGTAATTTAGTTACAGAAGGGGATAAAACCTTCTGATGTCACAAAATAACGAAAAAAAACCTCTTATGTTGTACTAATATTTTAGCACTGTTCAAGTAAAGATCCAAACTGCACCTCACAAACAGCAAGGAACAGGAAAACAAAAAGCCACACCAAAATGAAGCTCTGCTGGAGCACGAAGTTCCTACGAAGTTTAAAACAGAAACACTTCTTGTATTTACAATAAAAGTGAAAAAGAATGGAACAGTAGTTTGGAAGTTGAAATAAAACATCAGACTGGCCAGCCAAGAATTTTTAACATCCTAACTCATGATGTGACTTGGAAAAGAAACCTGGACCAACTGCACACAGCCAGGACTGAGAGCCAGCTGGATTCAAATCTGCCCCGTTTCCCTGAAAGAGGGGAGGAATAGCGGTGTCAAAGCAAGGAAGCCGCGCACAGCACACCACCGCCCCCAAAACCACCCTACAGCACAGCTCGCATTCCTTCTGTCCTCAGGAGCCCGGCTCTCGCAGGCTCTGCGGCGCTTAACAACAGCGATTCCAAATCCATCTTATTTTCCACTCTTACCCAGCGCGGGAGGCAAACGAGACAGGGCTCCCCGCTGGCCCGGGACCGCGCAGCTCCGGGGCGCCCGGAGCATCCATCCCGGAGTTGCGGGAGTTTCCCGGGGGCTGCGGGACGCGCAGCCCCGGGCCCGAACAGCAGCGAGAGGGACCCGTCTCCGCGGGATGAGACCGTGTAGAGGGTTAGGGTTTTTTTCCCCCCTTCCCCGTCCCTCCGCCCCTCCTTTTTCAGCAGGACCAGGGAGCGGCAGCGCAGTCCCTCCCGCCCGGCAGCGCTGCTCCCCGCCGAGGAGCGCACAGTGCGGGAAGGGCATCGGGAGACGGGGGCCTGGCAGGGAGGAGGTAACAGGGCAAGGAAAAGCACACCACAAGAGAAGGGCAGCGCAGAACTCACCTGGTTTGGGATTTGTCCTCCCTCTCCAGGACCATAAAACGAGGCGGGAGCCAGGAGCCGGGCAGCGGCGGAGGCAAGGAGCGGCAGCCCCGGGCCGCCGCACGCTGGGCACCGGCAGCGGCGCTGGGCGAGGTGCGGACCCCGCCGATGAACGCGAGGCAGCCCACTTCCACCGGGATGGGTGCTGCCCACCCTCCCGGCGCAGGGCAGCTCCCCGGGATGGGTGCAGCGGGGCTGGGCGCAAGGCAGTCCCGCTCGGGGATGCGTGTTCAGTCCCCACCGCCCGTGCAGCGCAGCCCTCCGGAACGCTGTGGAGCCACCCTGGGGCCGGGACGGCCGGGACAGGAGCGGCAGGGCTGGGCGCAAGGCAGCCGTGTGCGGGGATGCGGGAGCGCGGCCCCGCCGGCCCCGGCAGCGGACGCGGCACCGGCCCAGCACAATGAGCGGCGGCGCGCAGCGCGCCCCCGCGGCCCCCGCTGGGCAATGACATCACCCCTCTCGCCCGCCGGGGCGGGGCCACTGCCCGCGCCGCCGCCTCGCCATTGGCTAGCACCCCTTGGCGGCGGACGCTTCTGGGGTTTGTAGTTTCTTTGAGGAATCAACAGCGCGGCAGTGTGCAGGGCATGGACTCCATTTCCCGGCAGATCCCGCGCCGCGCTGCCGCGTTGGGGAGCGGGGTAGGGAAGGAGGCGGTGGCCGCCGCCATGTTGATGGCGTGGGACGCTTAGCTCTGGAGGAGCGGTCGGGGAGCCGGGTTAAGATGTCGGAAAAGGGGGAAGGGTGGGAGTCCTGTCTTGGTTTAAGGGGCAAGGAAGAGCTTGCGCGAGCGGTTGAGAAAGAAGGGGGAGGCTGAGGAATAGCCGGAGGGGCGCGGCGGGGAGGGGAGGGGTGCCCTGAAGGACACGGCCGGTTGTCACTCGGTGACTGCCGGCCCTGGCTGAGGTCACTGTCTGTGGTGGGAGCGGGGTGCGGGTGCGGTGGGAGCGGGGTGCGGGTGTGTCCCGGGCTCGGTGGGTGTGTGTCCCGGGCTCGGTGGGTGTGTGGCAGGGCGGCGGTGCGGCGCTGCTGGCGGGCGGGCCCCGCCGGCTCCTGCGCTGCGCCCCCCGCGCTGCGGGGAGGGTGGGTGTGTGGCAGGGCGGCGGGCGGTCGCGGCGGACGGGCGGGCCCCGCCGGCTCCTGCGCTGCGCCCCCCGCGCTGCGGGGACGGGCCCGTGCCGGGCTGTACCAGCCGCGGTGCTCGGCCCTTGGACCGAGTGCGGCCTCTGGGGCGATGAGCAGGGCTGGCCTTGGGGCGGCTGTCCGCAGGGAGCAGGCTGGAGCGTGCCCTTGTCGCACGGCAGGTCTGTGACAGCGAAGCCTGCGCTTCCTTGGTTTCAGGGTGGTTTTTTAAGGGTTCTGGCTCTGTCCGATGCCTGATAATTGCGCTAATGGTGTCTGGTTGTCAGAGACGTACGGCTTGGTGTGACCAGCAGGAGGAGCTTTGCTTCCTTTTAAAGTCCTTAGTATGTCTGGAAGAGGGTATATTCAGATTAGATATAAAGCAGAAATTCTGTACTGTGAGGGTGGTGAGGCACCATCACAGGTTGCTCGGAGGAGCTGTGGATGTCCCATGCCTGGAACTGTTCAAGGCCAGGGTTGTTTTTCCACTGGGCAGCCTGGTCTGCTGGAAGGTGTGTCCCTGCCCATGGCAGGAGAGGGTTGCAACCAGATGGTCTTTGAGGTCACTTGCAACCCAAATGTATAATTGTGTGTCCATAGACATGTAAGTCATGTTTGGAAAAGCTGAGAGAGCAGATGAGATGGTGTAGGACATGTCAGCATGGTATGGGAGCAGCCAAGATGACTTGGTCCCCCACTGTTTTGCCTGTGCTTGCTGTCTCACACTGGCAGGGTTTAGCCAGCTGACTAGGTGCTGTCTTAGTTTCAGCCCTCTGGCTGGCATGCAGGAGGTAGGTTGGAATTTTGAGCAGTGCTTTTAGACTTTCTTGTAGTGAACATTATCCCTGCTTGTGCTAGTCTTTTCTGGTGGGGAATGGGAAATACGTGTTCACCAAATGAGAGAGTAGTCAAGGCTCTTTGGGCCTTAAGGGACTGGAGTTCCCTGAAAGCATGTGTAGAAGGCTGGTGCTTGAAACTGGAAGGGAAGATGGTCAAAGTGTTGCACGGCTTGTGAAATAATACCATTTCTAGTTACAGCTGATTCCTGTGAAATAAAGCACTTCATTATGCCAGGAGGATACTTAATTGGAAAGAGTCGTGAAGAGTTCTGCAGACTTGCTTGAAGTCTTGGCTAAAGTCCAGTAGTGGTACAGCTCAGGTAAAATGGAGTCACAAGGGTTTATTTCATCCTTTGGCTCCTCCTGGAGGTAAGTACAAGGCATTTGCTCAGGATATTGCTGCCCAGTAACTACACAGGTTGTGTGTGTGCCACAGGATACACGAGTGCTGGAGGAAGGATGTTGAGATGTTCTGTCGTGCAGATACTTCACCTGGACATTGTGGCCTTTCAGGATTTGCTGGTACTACAGCAATGTATGCTGTGCTTTTATCACTTTAGGTGCAGCTCCCTCTAGTTAAAGAAGCTGAGCCACATGCATGCCATCCTGCAAGAAGTCCAGTGTTCTGAGGGTGCATCTCCTTGCAAGCAGGTTCTCCTGTTATATCATACTTCTCACTGAAGAAAAAGAGTGGTGGGGGTGTCATGCTCTTTTAATAAAATTTGTAGCATCAATAGTTCCATATATCTGGAGAATTCTGAGTTACAAGTGCACCCCTTTTTATTTCTTCCCTTATTCTGTTTCTCCTCTATACAGATACCTTTCGATTAGTTGAGCTGTGGGTGAAATAAAGGGCACTGGCACAATGACTTCTGTCACAGCTGTTCCCCACTGTAGACTTTATGCCTATGCTTTTATCTCTGCAGCTGATGCCTGGTACGGATGGTAAATATTGCAGTGGAATGGTTGGGTCAAGCTTAGTTTTCATTTCTGTAACTGTCAGAAATGTGCATGTGAAATTCTCATCCAGGATGGTCTGCTGGCCGAATGACAGTATGTTTTGTTAAACTGGTTTGGAAACAATTGGTTTGACTGCAGTGGTTCCCTTCACTCCCTCCCCATCCTCCTGCAGTCAGTGCTGCTGCTCTGAGGAGGATGCTGTGCACCCCACTTCACAGATAATTGTATGTTGTTATTTATATCTTATTTCTTTATCTGTAGATGCCACTGATATCTAAGGTAGGAAAAAATAAATGGCTTCAGAAACGACCCAAATGAACAGCTGATGCAAGAGAGAAGTAAAACAAGTTTTCTCTGTGTGTGTTGTTCACTTTGGTCTGTTTTGGAGGATTTGATACTTGCCAGTGTATGGATCGAGCTTGTTGGTCACAGCTTGTCAGAAGTGTTCATGATGAAACCTGTGTTACGTGTCTCAGACTTGGATAATCTGTTCACCTGAAAGTGCCAGTGTCCAAATCTATCGTGACCCAACAGGCCTTAATTGCAGTGTCTGTAAGAAGCTTACAGTGCTATTGCAAAAATAGGTGGTAAATAGGTGGTGTGGCTGCATCTCTTATGACGAAAAGATAGAAGGTGACAGAGCTGAAAACCCACCTGTGGCATTTCCTAAACATCAGTATGCTCTGCTTTAACGCTGTTAATGAAAACCTGCTCCAGTGTCTGTGTTGTCCTCAGCTTGTGCAGCTGAGAGATTTGTGTGTACTTTACTATGCTGACATCCTGCACTGCAATACCTATGGGTTGTCATTGTTACTGAAGTGATTTTGGACGCTGTGGACTCTGGTAAGCAACCACCCTGTTTCCTGACCTGGAGAATCAGTTGGAAGATCCTGAAGGAGAGATGAAGAAGTTAATTAGGAATGTGTGATGACTTCACTCAAAGAAGAAAACGCTCAGTCTAAGTTTAATCCAAGTTCATATGTAGAAACCTGTGTTCATGTCTCAGTGCTCATTCTGACAAGTGTGCTCTTAAAGAAATCAAGCATTTGGATACTTAAATTGAGTATTCACTGGGTAGCATACAAAGCCAGGCTGCATAAGAAACACGGATTGCAAGGTGCAGTGTACTAATACACCATGTCATAATTTTTGAGTTGTGTGGTGGTCTAGATATACTGTCACTGTCACATCCATGTCAGTGCAGCACAGAGAACTGTCGGGGTTCTTGGAAATTATGGTCAGGCATGTTGTCATTCCTGGTATACAAATTCACTGGACAAAAAGATTTACATGTGCCCTGAAACAAAGTGGAATATGGTTTCTAAGAGTGATACCATTTATGCTAGTCTTGGCACATAAATTTTGGTTTTAGATCCTCTTTTAGTTATCCTGGCTGTAAGTCCCTTTGGGGGAAGGAGAGGAAGTGTCACTGACCAACTGCTTATTTCACAGCCTGTGGGGGGAGGGTGTAAATTCTTTCAAATGAAAGTTACTGCTCAGATGATAGTGGATAAAGAAGCTGTGATGATGAGGGTTGGTTTATTTTAATTGTTTCTTATGGAGTTGTTTGTCAAAAAGTTTCTGGAGCTGCAAGGTGGAGGGTGGGAGGATGAGTTCAGCTAGGAAGAGCAGGTGAGTACTTTTATATCGTGTTACTGTTTCCAAGTATCTTAATGGTAATGCTGAGAATACATTGTGAGCTTGGAAAAAACAGGAGAGACTGGCAGGCTTCTGTGCCTTTTTAAAATGTTCTAAATGTAATTGTGGGGAGGCAACTGTTAAACCAGTATCTGGAAGTGCCTAGTATTTATGCATAGCCAAACGACTGTAAAACAACTCTGGAAATCATTCTAATGACTAATTATAAAGTGTTTTCCTTTTTTTTTGTTGTTTTTCAGCAAAAAGAAGAGTGCTTGAAGAGCAGTCAAGAGCCAAGTTAGGATGGACATGTTCTTCAGCTGAAACATGGCAGCAGTTCAATAGCAGTTACACAATAGGAAAGGCTGTGCAGGCTGCTGCAAGTCCCTGTGTTCTTAAGATCTGGAATCTGAAAGAACTCAGTAGAAAGAAAAAAATGGTTGCTTCCACAGCTTCAAACTCGCTCAATTCACTCAAGCAAACTCATTTGAAAAGAGAGCTCATTGATACTGAAACAGGAAATTGATTTTGTTTTAGATACTGGGGAAGATAATCAGAGCAAACTCGTTTGAAAAGACAGCTCATCTGATACTGTAACAGGAAATTGATTTTGTTTTAGATACTGGGGAAGATAATCACAATATGCAGAACTTGAAAGTGCTAGTCAGGAGACTGAAAAACTGCAAGTAGCTGAAGGACAGGAGACTCCAAGATTCCAGTTGTGGGAAGCTCCCTTTTGGAAGGCACACTAGCAGTGGGGAGAACTTGCTAAACACAAGCAGAATCAAAGGTTCTGCAGTTGTTAGCTACACATGAATCTGTCTGTTAAGGTGGGATAGCCTGACATGACCACTCAAGACTGCAAGGCTGTAGGTGGACTGCATTTCTCTTAAAAGGACATATGCCACTGCCCAGTTCAGAACCACCCAAACAGCTTCAGTTTTTGTCAAACACTCCTAGTTCCTGGAACAATAGCTTTTCTTGGTCCACCTAACTCCTCCAGAGCCAGCTGGCTGATTGTAGCTGTGCACTGAAGATAAGCCTTGCCCACCACTGCATTGCTGGATAATGGCACACAAACATGGCTCAGATGGACTCAGGGCTGAGCATAAATCCTTTGGCAGCCACTGTTCTGGCTATAATATGTACAATGAGTGCCCTGAGCACTTCCATGTGGAACAAGAAACACTTGGAGTGCATGTTTAGATGTACTTAGTGTGCACTGCCCTCTTCAGCACAAAGCTTGATAAAATCCCGTATTGCATAAAGCAGGTAGAGGTATCCCAGAGGTTATGGTTGGTGTGGACCTGACTCAGTTGCCACTAATCTGGGGAAGGTCTATTTTTGTTGTGGTGTGGTAAACCTGAGTTAGTAACTGATACTGTTGAGCTGATGGGCTTGTCTGTGCCAGGAGAGCAGTCCATGAGCTGATAAACATTTAAGCATGGTACTAGCTTTTACATCTTTCAACATAAAAAAAAATGTGGGAGGGGAAAGAGCAGAGGATTTTTAAGGGGCACATAAATTCTACTGAAATTAAAAGCTCACTAGGAATATCTTCATTGAAAGAATGCATTTTGGGAAATTACCTTCTTTGACAAGGGCAATATGAGCCTTTGGTTATGGCAAGTGTGTCCAGCACTGTTCGTTGGCCCTTTCTTTTGTGAGGTTGTAGGGGAAGAGTTTTGGATGAAGGGAGAGTGAAAGCCATAACCAGAGGTTAACATTTAATTTTAGCAACTATGTTTAGGTGAAGTGATGCACCATTACTAATTTTCAAAGGAAGTCCCACACCTAAATTGATGGAATCCCTGATCATGTGTGCGAGCATCTTTGGGTTCTTCAGCTATTTGAGTGCAATGGTGCAAAATTACATGTTGCTTCCTATATGATTCAGCTTAAAATGCAAGCTTGGGCAGTGAGTACCTAAGGAGCAGTAGTGTAGCCAGAACATTCCTTGGTGCACACAAACCATTTCCCTTCGGGTAGGTAATGCTGCACTGTGAAAAAGCATGCAGCTCTTCGGACACCATCATTTGATTGTGTTGCCTGTGCCAGAATTCCCTGGTTTTGCTCTCTTCCTTGCTCTGGACTCTTAACCCAAACTTCTCGTATTTCTGTATGTTACCACTGGTTGACTCTCATTTTTGGGTGGTGTTTTTTTGCTGTTTATTTGCAAATGCCTCTTCCTGGAAAACTGGCAGCGACAGTAAGTATCTCAGGTTCCTGGCCAAGTTTCCACTCACATGGTTTCACTTGCTCCATTCTGTCAAGTTATTTACATGTGGTGTCCTAAGGATGTAATTTAGTGGATTGCTAGTGAGGAGGTAACCTTCATGTGTTGGCTGCAGTCCACATAGGTTAGACAAACCTGCTTCCTCCTGAATTCAGTGGCTGTTCTTGCAGCCCTTGGTTTCCTGATGTGCAACTTTATGAAAAAGATAACGTTACACTGCTCTTGCAGAGATTTAAGTTGGTCACACTAGCATTGCTCACTTTACCTGCTGAGTTGCATGACCCAGAATGTTTTCTGAACCATGTTCTGCATGCACAACACCTAGGGCTCTCAAGGTGAAAAGGGTATGTTCTTCATGTCTTAACAGGTCTGATGTGCCACAAAACAGGAAAGATAGCATCAAGATGTGTAGTTGATCACTTAAGCAACCTTGCTCAAGATAGTCTTAACCCTCATGTTCTGGTTTCATGTGTATTATTTTGTTTCTAGTAGAGCCTCTTTGGGCATGCATTCCCAGGTGGTGTAATTACTTCCCTGCTTTTGAGCTCTTGAAAAATGCAGTTGCATGAAGCAGAGGCAGCAATGGCACTGGTAGTGTGAGGAGTTTGGTGTTACTTTCTGCCCCTGCCTTCCTGTGCTGCAGTAGCACAGTTACTGGTAGTGTGGCACAGTTACTGGTAGTAACTGTGTGTTACTTTCTGCCCCTGCCTTCCTGTGCTGCAGTACACCTTTCCCTTTCACGCTAATGCAACTACCTGGAACAGCATATGGAGCTATTGGTGTCTTAATCAGGGTGTTAACACACACACCCTGCCCTGGGTGTGTTTTTATGTGGGTCACTGCACATGTTTGGAGGAGGAGGTTTGTAGTTCTGTGGCTTTCTAGAACTTGAATTAGGTTTGCAAACTGGTTTAGAGTGTTTTCACTATGGCACAAAAAACAGGTGACTGGGTGCATGCCAGAAGTCCAAAACTGTTGCCTTGTTGCTGAAGTCTGACTCATTAAATCACGCATCTAAGGACGCTGTTAATTTTGTGGGGGAGGAGCAGCAGTGTCCCGTGTGCATGTGAGTGCTTTTGTTAACCATGTTTTTCTGTGTTAGGTCTCATGACACATCCTTTTTGTGGTTTTGCTGTGTGTAGCCTTCTGACCAGGCAGCTCAAGCGACCATGCTGTCTGTAAGCAGCTCTAGAGATTGTTCAGTGTACTCCAGACAAATCCTTGTGCAAACAGAGCTGGAGTAAGATGTGGAACACTTTTCTCCTAATTTAGGTGGGTTTTTTTGTTTGGTTTTTTTTATTACTGAGACTACCAATATATTTTCCTTTGATGGAACTAATTCTTACACATAGGGAGTTGAACATTACCCCTGCACACATAGCCAAATACAATTATATATTCAATGGCAGAGTAGATCAGCAAAAGAGAGAATTGGGTACTAAAATGTTGCACATATGATAGGTAAAAAGCTAATCCCTATTGTCATTTTTGCAATGCTTCTGCTTCCAGTGAAGGGTGCTGTGCTGTGAGCTCTTACTATGCAACTACGATTTCCTCTCTCTGTTCTGATAATGGTGAATGTTGCCCTCTGATGAGGACAATGAGGTGACAGCTGTTTCCGAGAGACCTGCAGTGGCTTCACTGTACACGTTCTGCCTCGGTGGATGTCAGCTAAGAGAGTAATTGCATCCCCCAAGAGTTAGACTTGCTGCTGTTAACCTTTCTGGAGAAACAAACATGAAGTAGAGCCACGTGCAGTCCTTACATGAGCTGGCAGCCAGGTGGGTGCTGTGTGTCACCAGGGATGACAGGCAGTCACACTTCACTAACTCACAGCAGTGAGGTGCATTTGGCCTCCTGAAAGTTCTTGCCCACTGAAAACTCTCAACTCCAGGGTAGATTGTGACTGGAGGAAGTGCTATCCCAGTGCTACCTCCTGGAAACAAGGGGGTGATGAAATGGAGTTTATTTTAGTAAGTCCAAAGAGAATAAATGAATGTTATTCATTAGAAATATTTATAAAATAATTCGTAAGTATTTTTATAGTGTAAATTATTTCTAAGTACATGTCTGGAAATCTAGGCATATATGTCTGTATATAAAATGTATATATTTAAATACATTTGTATACATGCTTTTATAATTCATAATTTAAGACTTATTAAAATACAAATTAGTAAGTTGGGAGGATCGTGGAAAAGGAGAGGAGCTTTTTGACAAACTCATGGGATGGAGAAGCTTTCCCTTCTTGAGAACAAATAGAACACAAATGTCTGGTCCACAGCAAATACAGTTGGCATGAATTGTTTTGTTAAAACGTCTGCTCATGTCTGTCTTTTAAACTTTTAACCTTGAGAGGGTTGATTAACCTTGTCATGAGTACCGAGGCATGTGACACGCTTGGCCATGAAAGCAAAGATGTGGGGGGTCTCTCACAAGTTTCTGTCAACACTTCGGTGATGTGGCTCTCTGGGATGGGTGGCATTGCTGCCATTCATTTGGAGTGGCATTGCAGCCTCCTTCACATGGGTTTGATGGTACCTCACATATCCCAGGCTTTTGCTATATTCAGTTCTCTGTTACCTGAAGTTAAATTTAGGTACAAATCACATCAGCCAGGATCTTGCTGTTGGAATATGTCTGCCTCACTCTTTCTGATATGACTGTCTCTGCTTCTTGAGTACTATCAATTTACCATCTTATTTCTCCCAAAGGAAACATGCACCCTGAACTTCCCCTGTGCACTGGCAGTGCTTTATGTGTGCAACCTCCAGGTAATGTTCACCTCCATGGATGTAAGGGAATATCTATTCCAGTCTTTGCTGAATTTACTGCTCAGCAGTCAGTGACTTAGCAGGAAAAACAAGGCACTATTTTGCTCATGTCCACCATCCACAAATGGCCTTTGATTTTCATCACCATTTTGTTTCTAGCTAACATGTCTGCCAACACACAGTTTTTCCAAACTCCTTTTTTTTTTATTTTTCTACTATTTTCTTGTCACCCATAAGTGGTACGTTGCACTCAATGTTTAGTGTGTGAGAAACCCTAGGATAAATCCCTATAGTAAGAAATTTTAGCTGTGGGCAGATGGTGATTTTGGTGGCTGAAGAATTCTACCTGTAGCATCCCATCATTATAAAGAAAAAAGTAAGTTTGGAGGAAAGAGCTCTCTTTGAATCTGGCTAGGGAAAGAGATGTAATAACACTTAAAAAGTAGACAAAAAGTGGTCTTCATATGCCAAGTTTCGTATATTTAACCTTTGCATTTTAAAATTTTAATGTTGTATCTTCTATTTCCTAAACTGATGACACCTGAGGAAAACCAGATCTCTGTAGCCAGTTGCTTCAAATACTTCCAATACAGAAGTGGTGTTTTGTAGATGCCCAGGGAAGATGCAGAGCCGTGGTATTGCTGGGAACCAACCAGTCACAACTAAAAAACAGTAGTGCAAAAACGTGTCAGCAGGCTGAGCAAACCCAACCCTTCATACATGTTATGTCTGCAGTGTTCTGTGTGAAAGCTATTATCCCTTGGAAAACTTGCTGACATATTTTAACAAGGAGAATCAAAGACTTAGCTGTGCCTCTGTAGGGTTCCCCTAATTTGTAGTGCATTCATAATCATAGTCTACTACTGCGCTCTCTTTAGTAAAGATTATATTAGAAGCCATCTGTAGGTAAATAACTCCTTGATACAGTTTTAACTATTCACCCATTTTCATATGCCTGGTTTTGACATCAGCAGGTATGTTCACATTTCTGAGTCCAAAATGCAAGGTAGCTTTGTATTATTTCTTTAGAAAACAGTAGATGTCATAAAAGAAGGCCTAATTTTCAAAACAGAAACATTACATTTGTATTTTATTTAAAACAAAATGAATGCGTGCCGGTGGTTGTGCAAGTACAGGGTTTGTTCAGGCAGGGTTTGTGGTTTCCTAGCCCACCTGTTTTGCCTGCAGAGCAGCCAAGAGAGCACGGTTTGTGCAATCATAAATCCTGTTCATATCTTCTCTCCTGGCAGGCTCCTAGGGACATGGCTGTAAAGTGAAACCCGGGCTGGATGCAGCTGTAAGGGGAGAAAGGGAATAGCAGAGCTTCGCCTTGCAGAACCCGAGGCACCCTGCAACACAAACAGGCACAGAGAGGAGCCTACCTCGGTATCCACACTGCTTCCCTCGGGTCACTGCTCGAGTCTCTAGGGTAGCTGAATTCTACATGGTGCTGCAAAATGCACGTCAGGGGCGTTGATCTCTGCTGGCTCTGAAACAGGAGAGTGCTGTAGCTGCCTTCGCTGCTGGCCCCTGTGCCCGTGGGTATCCACCAGCAGAGGGTGGCTCAAAGACCATTTATGTATTCCTGTAATGTTTAAACACTCTACAGGGTGAATATTGAGCGTGGCAGCCTCAGTGCTTCCTTCAGTGCCTAATACTTCATCTTTAGTTAGTAATTACAAGAAAGAAGTATCTAGCAAAGATTTTTGTTTCAGCCTTTCCTCTCTGATTTGTTTTTGTTTTTTTCTCCTCTGACATTATTCTTCCAGATAAGAATAACCAAATACAGTTAAGTTTAGGAAGACAGGTTTGAAGTAATGGTTTTGATTGGGAACTACTTCTGCCCAGGATCAAGGTATTTGAAATAAATAATTGCATAACTTGTCAGTGCTCTAGCATTTATTAGTGATTGGGACATAAGACACTAATAGTGAATGGAAGTAATTTCCCTGAACTTCAAACACCTAACAGATGCCCAGTGTGCTTGGGCTTTCCTTGCACACTGTGGAGAGCACTGCACATATCCCAAGATTGATTTCAGCACGTCTTACCCTAATTCAAGATCTCAGTGTAGAGAACACAGGCTAGCAGGAGCCTAAGCCCAAACAGCACTTGTGTGTGTATAATTATTCTCACGTGGAGTCCCCCTATGTGCGACAGTTAATGACTAGGTGGTTAATTATGTGAGTAGTTTATGTAGGAATGGGTTCAATTCTTGTGTCTGTGTTGCAGGGAGACTAATTTGTCTCTTGAGATGTTTGTTCATTGACCACAGAGGAAGCAGAGGTTAGACTAGCCCAAAGTTAGATATCTGACCTCCACATCTAGCAGAGATACAGCCCAGCCGCTGTGCCTGCAGGCTGCTGCTGCTAACCTCGGGTAATACTCTGCTCCATCTTTGAAGGCCTGCACACACTTGAGTAGATTTTATAGATCTGATGTCACATCTAAGGGAATAAAGTGTAACAGTTAAGGTAATTAGTAGACAGTTGTTAACTTTTCTGACATCAGTGGAATTCCACATGGGACCATGTGTGTGTGAATATGTAGTTCAGGCTGTTGTTGACTGGAGACCTGTTGAGAGGCTTTACAAAATAAAAGGTAGTAGTAAATTATGATGGAAAATGTTTCATGTTCTAATATATAGTGATTTATGTTCTGAATTAGATGCTCTGTTCAGAATTTTCCTACATATATTTAAGTAGTTTTAAAAGGTTTGAACTAAAATTCAAACATTTCTGTTCTTGATTTCAGTTTATTTGCTGCTCAGAAATTATTTTCAAAAAGGAATTCCTATCCAAAGTTCTTCAATTAAAAAACCCAAACACCTGAGTACCAGCGGTTTTGAACAGTTGCAGAAGTATAGCACAGATGCAGCCTTAGTATTTACTAGAGTAGGTAAAATTCCTCTCTGTTTGCACAAATAGAGCAACTTAGGGACCGACTCAAGCAAAAAAATGAAGAGGCATCTTCACAAAGGCTACAAAAAGCAGATGACCTCTGGCTTTCTCTTCCACAGAAGACAGGCAATACCAAATATGAATAGGATTCACTTCCTCCTTCCTGCTGAGTGGCAGGTATCAAGCCTTTTGAACATGTTTCCAAAAGCATATCCATAGTTCAAGAAGTGTTTTATGTATGTAAACATAGAGACATGCCACAACAATGATTAAGGGATTAGAGGAAAAGGGTTAGGATGATAAGAGGATTATTGCAGACACAAGGGTGTGTTCATGACACCAGCATACACTGTGGTTCTTCTGGAAGTCTCCAGTCTGCACCAGACTATACAGAGCTTTCTGCAGGATGTAAGCGTGCCCAGCACTTGTGCTCTGCTTGAGGTTAAGATGGAAAATCCTGTGTGTGATTCCTTGCTGTAATGACCTGTTTGTATACAGATGGGCTTTCAAGTTATGGAAATGACCTATGACTTATGAAATAGCCTCTTCCTGTTTGCAATGATGCAGTGAAATATTGAGTCATCTCTAACCCTTGAGCCTTCCCTCTACCAGCTCTTTGTTGTTTGCAACCTGTCTCATGGGATTTGGATTGATGATACTGGACAACTCTTTTCACTTAAACTGGTCCCAGTTTTGCCAGTTTTGGATGAATTACTGCTCTTTTCTAGGAAAAAGAGTTGACCCACATCACTGCTGATTTAAATTACAATAACTTACTGAAAAATTACCTGTGTATAGTTAGGTTTAAATTAATGAATTCTTGATTTGGGGGATTAAATACTTGTATTTACTGTAGGTACCTAACTCTCCTGCCACAGCGTAATGAGTCCAGGGACCCACAAAGTCCTGGATTCAGATGGAAAGTACATACTGTAATGCTCCACAAGATTATATTTCACTGCCTTTTGGAGAGAGGCCCTAATGCCACATGAAATCTCAGCAATATGACATCTGACCCCTCAAGGGATGAAATAGGTTAGATGCCTGAAAACATAACACAAAATCTTTTCTGAGGTATTTTGTTGGGTATTTTTATCCTTTCTCTACAGAATATAGCAAAGGCTTAAGTAGAGCAGGTTGGATGGCCCTAAGTTTAGTTTAACTTTGACATCTTGGCTGAAGAGCTGCATTTCTAGTGGCTGTGCAGACTGCTGGGTGTGCTGCCAAATAGCTGGAGATTGCAGAGTGATGTTGTTGTTAATTTGTTTCTGCCAGAGAGACATTCCTGTTCATCTTTGGGACAGCATCATAAGTTCTGTCTTGGTTTGAAAAGATAGGTGTCTGCCAAGGAAGGCAGGAGACTCCCTTGAAATGGAAAATGTAAACCCCCTCCCTCTGAATTATTATAATTTTGAAATTAAGGGGTTCTCAGGCAAAGATATGGGAATAAGAATAACAGTTACTAGGAAAATTAAAATAAAAATGCAGTAGTTTAATAAAAAAGGTACTGACAGAGTCAGAATATAACCTGACATCCTGTGGGTCAGGATGTTGGTAGCAGTCCCATTAAATGGTGGCTGCAGTCCTCCTGGAGTGGCAGATGTGGTTCTGTTGAAGCAGTGATCCTGCAGAAGGGTGCAGTTTTCCTCTGAAGGTCCAGTGGTGGTGCAGACAGGTCTAGTCTTCCTCTGGGAATCCAGTGGGAAAAGTTTAAACCACCTGGTTTTAACAGCTGGTAACAGAATACATACTTGTGGTTACATCTTGCATTGCAGCCTAAGACAGTCACCTATTGATCCTGCCCATCGCTGGACCCGGTGTGAACTCAAGGATAAAGTATGTGCCAAGTTAAAGCCACCGTGCCTTCCTAGAAGCAGCTCACTTTAGCTGTTATCCTACAAAGAAGGAGGAAAGAAGGTGGAACAAACCAAATTACATCTGTGGGGCAAAAGCCAACAGTTTTCCAGGTTTGAAATGCAATGCCGTTAGATATTGACAACTGACAGTTGCTTCATCAAGGCACAGAATTTTGCAAAGCCTTTGACAAGTTAAATACAGATGCAACATGAGGCATTTTCTTGTGCAACATTTTTTATGGCTATTCTTGGTTTTCCCAGTGAGATCTTACTTTCTTAGAGCAGAGATTTGTCACCAGTTAATTGATTTCTCTGAACTTTCTGCCAAAATCAACAAGGAAGGAATTGGCAGGATGGACTTTAGAAACAGGGAAGTTGTGACATGTTTGAGGAAAATGCATGCTCAGAGGAGGGTCTGCTTCTCTTTCAAAAAGCAGTTTCCTATCAGCAAAACAAGCTCACCTCTTTTCTGCATGTATCTTGTCTCTGCCTTGCAGCAATGCTATGGGGGTGCTTCATCTTGTGAGAAGTGAAGGGAAAGAGATTTACTAATGAAAAACCTTGCACATGTTTTTACAACCCCAGTCATTGTACTGAGTTGAGCTAAGGCATGCATTAAAGCAAGCTGAAACTCTAAGGATTAGAAATCTTCGCAGTAATGACAGGGTCTGTTTTTCTACTGACATGCTGCAGCTTCCATGGTAAAGGAAAGAAGTACATATTGGTCCAACAGTGCAGAAAAATATCACCCTGCTGCCTGGTCATGGGTGATGTGGGGCAGACATGTCAATGTCGTGAGAGAAATCAACAGTGCAGAACTTGGGTGGTTGCAAACTGCCAGTTTTTAATACTGAAAGATCAAACTTCAAGCAGCGGAAAATGTGAGGCAGTGCCCAGAGCAGTTCTATCTGTCAGAAATATAAGTAAACACAAGTAGCCAGGAGTTCAAGATCACTTAAAACAGAGATTATACCACTTCTCTCTCCATTCTTCTCCTCACCCTTCCCTGAAACACTACAACCAAAACCAACAGCACACCATGGCTTCCCAAGCCTCAATATTTACTCACACATGAAGAACATGTGAAGCTTTTTAAAATCCCCTTGACAACTTGTACAAGAAAACTGTTTAGCTATGAGTGGAATGTCCTCTTACAAAATGCCAAACAGCCTTGTGTTTATTAGGCCAAAAGCTAACAAGTTGAACTGTAAGCTCTTATTACTTGTTCTGTTCCTCTACAGTAAGAATCTGGAGTGCTTTAAAAATGCTAAGAGCGTGACAGTGATTGACAAGAAAAGAAGGAATGTAAGGACATACTGTGCTTTTTAAAAATTTAATTATTTCTGTAAAACAAAATTGATAGTGATGGAGGTCCTGCATTTGCAGTTTGAGCCAGGAGCCAGGACTGTTTTTTCTGCCATGACCCTTACACACTGCCTTCCACCCTTATGCAGGAACACCAAATTTGGTAAAATCCCAGCGTAACTTTAAGGAGAGAGATCCTAAGAAATTAAACAGCTGCTTGAACCATTCATGTTTTAACTTTTTCTCAGTGAAAGCATGTCTTAATTTTAGTGTGTGCAGTGCATGTGTGAGGCTCTGTCATTTTACTGGATGTGTCCAGTGATGGATCTCCAAGCATACAGGTTTGGTTCCAGTTCACATGATCACTTTGTCATTGAATTAAGTATGTCTGGTATGGAGTTCATATGAGTTTTTAACAGTTGGTAGCTGATATCTAATCTGACACAAAGTGACAATGGCACAGAGAGAGCAGTAGTTTTAATCGCATTGTGTCAGTCAGAAATCAGCAAAATTTTAGAGCAATTTTAACCGACAGTGTGAGTGAAAGCTGGATCTGCACCTTGGATAGTAGGTTATGGTATATCTGGTCCTATGCCAAGGGCCCTAATGTTGGATTTTTTAAGCCATTAAGCCATGGCCAGAGAGGAGGAGGGTGAATTGTGTCTCTTACAGTTGCTGAAAAAGGAAAACACTGCCACTGGTATGTTCTTCTCAGTGAAAAAGCCAGTGCTGTGTGAAAACTGCTGTTGGAGATGATTCAACCATCATCCATCTGCATATTAAATCTTCAAAATACTGTAACTGCATAGAGACGAAAAATACAATGTGAAACTGCTAACATGTAAAAGCAGGGAGATTTAAGGATGTGTTGCAAGCATTGGTACAACTACACTTCTTGAACTGAGCTCAGGTACAGTTCTTGTCTGCTTGGATCATTTAACTGGCCAAAGACCAAAATATACCCTTAATAGTCCGCAGACACCTATGCCCAGTAATGACAGGGTCCTCCAGTGACATGTTAACTGTGTCAATAAAACATTAGCTAAATAGTGGCTGGGTTTTCCTGGTTAAAAGAAAACTAGACCTTCATTATGTTCCAAGATGAGCTTAAAAAAACATACTTTTTTCATTATGTGACCTGGTTATCCTGGTTATGGTGACTGGACAATTTGGATCTGCTAATTTATTGACGTCACCGAAAACACAGCCTAAATCATCTAAAATATAGATCATTGTTTTGTTTGTCACCAGTCTGCTGAAATTTTCAGTGAACTAGGTAAATGTGCTTTGTCAGATTCTTGCATACATGGACATGAGATGTGTTTGCTTCATCAGCTCACGAGCTGGGTCACGGTCTGTGAGGGCATAGAGCTCTGGGGTGAAACCACCAGCCTCTTGCACCCATCTCCACAGTGACTACCTGCATGCCTTCCATTACACAGGTTCTACATCCCCAATAAAGTGACCACAAGAGATTGCTGTCTTGCAATACTGACTATGTAGTTGTTTTTATAGTGTATAAACTTTATAAAATTTATATGTGTGTGCACTGTGCATGCACTAACATGCCTTCATTTACCCACATAACTCAACACAAAATTGCCAGATGTCTTTGGCTCTAATGAGCACCTACCGGGGCACACAGCTGACTTGGAACAGGACAAAGCAGGCAGTTACAGGCATCTAACCCCACTGCCACAGGGAAAGCAGCCACAGCCTTGGGCCTCCTCCTGTAGCTTGCAGGGGGGGTACCTGCTCTCTTCATGTTCACTGTCTGTTGTGTTCCCTGGAACACGGTGTGTAACAAAACACACAGGGTGTTGTTTTGGCACCAGGGAAGATGCTGCCTCTGTCTTGGATGCTGCAGCTGTGGTTGGAACCCTGGAAAGGGGACAAGATGCTTTGCTTTGGTGCTGTTAAGCATGATCAGTTGGATGAACCACTTAAAGGATAGGATGGACAGAGAATAGTGTTTGGAAGAAAAACCCTAAACTAACAAGGAGTTAATTTAGAAACTTTCTGTTCTGCCTAACTTGAAGAGTTCTCTGTTGTTGTTGTTGGGGTTTTTTTTAAAGTATTCCTTTATGTTTAACAGAATATGATTTCTGAAGTTAAAAGCTTTGTGTTTTGGGATGTGTGTTTCAAGGGAAAACTGGAGGTAGATCCGCCTCAAAGTTCTGCTGACTCCACCAGAGTGCCAATATAATTATAAATGTTTATTACCCTCAAAATGAGGAGGTGCCTTCTTTAAGGTGTCTTGCAGGATTATAATGTGAATTCCTTAGTTGCCAGAGATGCTGTTCCTCTGCCCTGTGCTTAGTGGATTTGCACTTAGTAGATTTGCATGTGTACATGACAAGAGCCAATTGCCAAACATAAAGATTTGAATGTAAACTCATTGCTAAACTTTGGCCTGGAAGCATCAAGTTGTTCTTCTGAGCATTTGCACGTACAAAAGGTGAGTACAGAGGTAAAGAGCAATAAAAGGGCAAGGCAAAAGAGAAGAACTCATAAAGCACCTCAGCAGAGCTAACCCTGTTGGCCTGTATCAATGAGTCTGAGTTTTGCCCTTTTAAATGCTTATGCCTTTGCACACTTTGCACCATGGGGCTCTTTATAACAGATGCAGAGCTTGGACAAAGCATATTTGCAGCTCCTCTACCTATTTATGAGCTGGTCTGTACACTTTGCAGTGTTTCACATAGTGTGAGTGTAGGTATGTACCTGCAGGCAGGTACATAAATAGGTACCTTTATGCTTCCTTATTCCTTATGGAAGCAGCAAGGGGAAAAGGGCAAAAGGAGAAGCCAGAATTTCTGCTATCAGGAAGAAAATTGAGATAGAGAAAATCTAAGATTTTATTTGAGCAACCTAGTAATGTGTCTGCTTGCTAATTAGTTCTGCTGTAAATCACTAGCTCATCAGTATGTATATATTCTGCTTATTTGCTGTATTTACTTAGTGACTGGATAATTCAAATCTGCACATTTATTGACTTAACTGAAATTGCAGCCTAAATCATATGAAATATGGGATAAATACATGTATGGGGTATTGTGGGATGGTTTTATTATGGGACTAGACTGTGCCTCCAGACAGAAACACATAACTTTTACCTTTGTCTACATTTGTTTAAAAATATGCTAAGATACCCAAGCATGGTATTGTCACATATAAACCCAGCTCAAAGCAATAACTGGCTGTGACAAGGCCAGACACCCATCCCAACTCTATCTCATCTGGCACATCTCCAAATGCTGATTCTCATGGTATATCCCAATATACCAGCTGCTCCCAGTACAAAGATAACAGTTAGTTCATTATGGATTGTTTATGACCGACAATATTTACTGTATGTACATTCTCAACAAACACGGTGCTGTAAATAAATACAGATATTAGGCAGTTGTATGTTCCTATAGCATGCAAATAAACTGGAGCTGGAGCTTTTATCCTGCTAGCAACTCAGGCAAACAGATTGTAAAAGCAGTTGAGAATTAGCTCAGGACTTTTATGATGGTTGTGAAGAGGTACATTGTAAGTACTTCTGTAATTATTCCATCTAGGTCAGCTAGTGAATTGTTTTACTGTACAGAGTCCTCAAAATGGCTGCACTTATTTTGGCATTTGCTGAGGGACAGACAAGGGCTTTACACATGGCCAGTAGGGCAAGAAGTCATCGTGCTGATATCACTTTGTCTTGCAGTCCTGGGGAACGGGCAGGCAGGCACAGATCTGGTGCAGGGCTCCTCCTTCAAGGCCATAATTTCTGTCCTCTCCATGTCCCCCACACCCCACACCGGTGTGCCACCATTGCACTGATGTGATTGATGGATGATTGATGATTCTTTTGATGAAAGAAATGCTGATTTGTGTGGACCTTGTGTGGGAGCCCTTGGGCAGGGTCTGCAGGGATGCTGGGACTTTAGCTCCATCCCACCACTGCCAACCACCTTCCACCTCCTCAAAACCTTTGCAGCACAGCCAAGGGAGCTTTCCTTTTCAATATACTGAAGTGATTACTCCGCTCACTCAGGATGGTTTTTCCAAGAACTGTTGCTGCTGGCATTTGTATGCAGCTACAAAGCTCTGGTATCCTCTGGAAATGGATGCAGGCAGGATATTCCAGCTTAGAAGTCCTCAAGAGCAGCATAAAATATGTATAATTATTATGTCCTTCTGTTTATTCTGACCCTGTACAAGATGAAGCTATGTGTCATATGCTTAATATTAAATGGACTGAACAGGTTTCTCTTTAATTCTTTTAATCTTCTTACAAGATACAAAATAGGCTTAAGTCAAAACCTGTTCCTTAGTGTAAAGGGTTGAGGGGGCTGGTTGCTCGCTTGGCTGTATTGTGATGATGACAGCTAGGACTGGGTTTGTCGAGCACTGAGCGCTCTCCCCAGCAGGTTTATGCCTCCTTGCATAAAGGTCTCCATAACGATTTCTAGGAGACAATTGCAGGCCTAGCAAAGGAAGAGTCAGGATGTAGTTAAACCTCCCAGCCCACACACAGTAACAGGAAAATCCTGTTTGAAGAATCAGGGAAGAGCCTTTTCTGGATAACAAGAGATAATGTGCTGATAACGCTGCAGTCTCCCCACCCTCTGTGTGGTTGTCCCGCTAGCGGAGTCCGGCCCCTTGTGGTTTGATATTTTTCAGGGTCTGTCCAGGGTGGGAGAGAAGAGGTTCTAGGAAGTGTATCTGCAGTTGAGCTAGCAACAATTGTATTTTAATGAACACGCGGGCTTGGGAGCCCTGCAAGAATTTGTTTTCTGATCCATGCATGGGTTTTCACGAGCTTGGGATCCCTGCAAGAATAATTTGTTTTCTGATCCATGCATGGGTTTTCTTGTCCGGGCTGAAAATTAAGAGAGGGAAGAGATGTGTTAGTAGGGAGATGCACAACGTTACAAGCCATTCGAACATGGGAGCGGGGGAAAAAGAGAGGGAGGGTGCTGGCTTTGTCTCCGACTCAATGGGTGTTAATGTTCCTGGAACATCACACCCCGCTCCTGCCTGTTAATGTGTCCTGCTCCTCCTCGTGGGAGTTAATGTTGCTGGAACTACAGCTGTGTTAAGTAAGCACCATCCCAAGATGACCAGATTTTCTCTTCTCAAGACAAAGGCTGGAAACTTTCTGCAATACAATACACACAAAAATATTTGTCACCGCTCTGCAAAGCTGTTGTTGGGCTAGTGGTGTAAGCAGAACCCCAAAAGTGGAACCTTCAGGCAAATGGGAGATTTTTAGCCTAGAATCATAAGAGTTCTTCCCAGAAAAATGCCCCGGGGAGCAGTAGAAAATCCAATTCAATTAGAAGGTGCTTCCTTCTAATCTAAACGAAGAGCTAAAAAGAAAGACACCATCTACCTTATCTATTGATTTTCGGAAAACAACTTCGCACCTCACTGCAAAACCGAGCATTTTCTGATGGACAGGGTTCTATTGTTAAAAGAGAAATAGGAACTTTCTTTTAAATAAAAAACACCAAAGAAACAAAAACCCCACAAATATACATTTTTAAAAATGTCTTGCAAATCTCTGCCAACATTTCAATTTTTATTTTTTTTTACAATAGATAACAAAGGCATTAGTAATTGACAACATCGATTTAGATGAAAAAAAAGTCTTTTCAAACCAATAGCAAACCTTGCACGGGTAAACAGATTCTTGGAGAGGAAAAAAACACTGAAAATGTCCACCTGAGCAGGGCTTTTGCCTCACATAACAGTTTCATAAGCAAAGCAGCTACAACTTCTAAGGGGGTGCAAAACTGGTTGTGTAACTGTTCTCAGAACATATTTATCAGTGATTCACTGTCAGAGCAGAGTGATGTGCACCTGCAGGCATTCATCTCAGGTCTGCTTCCATAAAGACATAAGGGAATAGCTATTTCTCTTCAGAGCTTGATGTTTACACTGTCTTTTTTGTTCCCAATTGATTTTCACAGTGTTAGTGCAAAGATCAGATGCTCCTCTGTTAGTCAAATCCTTGTTCGCTGTGAGCACGCAGTGGTGCAGGCTGTAAATTCATTATATAAATCAATTCCAGCATTTCTAGTGGGTTACTGTAAGGCATGTAACTTCAATACTATCAATAAGTAGAAGAATATGATGGCTTTGGTCTTTGGAACTAGCAAATTAAAGACCAGCCACTTTCAGTTCCTTCAATTTGGAGTAGCTATACAGTTACTTGTAAGAATTTGGAAAATAACAAGGAGAGGTATAGCAGCTACCATGGATTCATCAGGTATAAATTATCTAGTAGAAATTTCAATCAAATTTATTTTTGTGATAGACTAACGACTCATAAATCAGCAAAAAGTTGTAGATATCATCAGATATGTGGACTTCAGTGACATTTTTGTCATGGTGCATGTTCATAAGCAAACTAACTGAAACCCCTACAGGCCCAGTACAAATTTGGTTTCATACAGTTTCAGCACAGAAAGGTGGCTCTATCAAGTTGTTGCAATGTTTCCCTAACAATGCGGATGATGGAATAAAAAATACACGTCTGAAGTTTACAGATAGTGCAAAACTGGGAAGGCCACAGTTATAATGAAGGATGGGATTCAATCTCAAAACAAACGTGACAACCAGAGCAACTTTTTCAGGACTGCAACTTAATGGGGACCAGCACAAAGTCGGACACTAAGGCATGAACAATCAGACACACATGCTGAGTAAGAGCTGGTGAGCAGCTGGCTTTCCCAACAGGATGTGTGAAGTAAAAAGAAACACAACACACCTTCCATCACCTGCCATACTTTGCAACTGTTATCCCTGGCAGAAATATCAGATGCATGAATATGGCTGGATTAGATCTTTTGTCTCATGAGGATCTGTGTGCTGGTGCTGTTTGGAGTTGAAATCACAACCAAAAGTCTATAGCTTTCCAGTCTCCTTATTCCACAGAGTTGGCAGGCTAGAAATATTTGTAAAAAGGGACCTAGGAAAATCAGATGCATTCTCCCATGCCAACTTCAAACATTTATTGAGCTGGTGCAATGCCCAGAAGCCTCAACCCCTCCCCCCAGAATATCCCACAGCCAGAAACAGCTGTGACGAGAAGAACAGGGGAGGCAGGAGGGGCTATAATTCATCCATGTGGCAGCTCCCAGCACAATGATCTGGCACCTACAAGCTCCAGCAGATGCAGGTGACCACAAAAGACACGTGACATTGTTGTGGTTTGACCTGAGATGGCAACTAAGCCCTGTGCAGTCCCTCACTCACTCACGCTCCTGCACCCGTGGGAAGGGGGAGAGAATCACAAGGGTAAAGGTGAGAAGTCTTCTGGGTTGGGATACAGACAGTTTAATGGGAGAGGTAAAAGCTGCAGACACAAGCAAAGCAAAACCAGGAATTCATTCCCCAGTTCCCATGGGCAGGCAGGTGTTCAGCCATCCCCAAGCCAGCAGGGTTCCATCACAGGTAAAGGTGACTTGGCAAGACAAATGTCATCACTCCAAGCATTCCCACTTCTTTCCTTCTTCTCCCAGCTCCATATGCTGAGCATGACACCTTATGGCATGGAATATCCCTTGGGTCAGCTGGGGTCAGCTGTCCTGACTGTGTCACATCCCTGTGCACCCCCAGCCCCCTTCCTGGTGGGCGGGGTGAGGAGCAGAAAAGGCTTTGGCTCTGTGTAACCACCACTAAGGGATAACAAAAACAACCCAGTGTTATTAGCACTGTTTCCAGGACAAATCCAGAACATGGCCCCCCACCAGCCACTGTGAGAAAAATCAACTCTACTCCTGCCAAAACCAGCACACACATAAGTGTTAAAGGACTTTATATCAGACCACAGTGTACACACACACACACACACACACACACACACACACACACAAAAAAAAAAAAAAAAAAAAAAAAAAAAGATAGTCCATGACTTGAGCAGAGGCTGGGCTAGCTACAACCACAAGAAACACTAAAACAACCCAAATACTGTTTAACTATGTGGAATTTACTCACAAAATTCTTGGGTGAATCTTCTTGCTAAAGATGGACAAGACTTTGGCTCATCCAAATACTGCTATAGACTTCATCTAGCCAATATTCAGGGATATTTATCCCATACTCCTTACCATCTACCCTGTATTGGTTGACATTCATTGAAAATAGTTGTAAAAGGGGATGTTGTTGTAGAAGGAAGAGCTGAACTCTCAGAACTGAACAGCAGAAGCATGGCTGAGAAGGGGATGGATTAAATACTTTGCATAGATGGAAGAAGTCGGAGTGACAAGGGTTTACAACACGTGTAGAGGGAATCCTCTTGAATTTGTGTGTAGAAACAGCATTTCAGTTCTCCAGCATAATGCCAAGTTTCAATGAGCACTTGCATAAACAGAGCCTTTCAGCATTGTGAGTCCCTCACTGCTGTGGGTACCCTGTGCTGCCTGTGCCAATGGCTGCTCGTGGGCAGAGGGAGCCAGGCAGACCTGAAACACCAGGGACTCCTTCCCGTGTTAATTCCATTGTGTTAGGTGACTGCATGCTCTATCTCTACAGCTGCCTCCTTGGCGGCTGTACTACACGAGGGATAGCTGGGGGAGTGTGATGCCATGTGATAGGAGCAGGTTTAGCTAAACCAGCTCATTCTATTTCCAAAAAACAGTTGACAGAGAGGCATGCTGGAGTTGCCCTTTTCAAAAAACAAAAAAAAATTAGTGTCTAAAGAAAAATGCTTCCAAAATATAGTCTACTTTAGTAAACATGCCTTTAAATCTCTAGATATTAGTTCCAGCTAATTGCAGCTGCTTTCCTTTCCTTGGAGCTCCCACCCTGTTTGTATGGAAGGCATGGAGAGCTGGCCAGCAAAAATGTGAATTATTTATGTTCTTGCTGAAAGCACGAGTCTTGTCACTAGAGCCTTGCTTGATTGAATGGATCTGCAGAGACAGTTTCTGTAGCAACCCAGAACTTTGCCCAGCAAAATGTCACCCAGCTAACACAGAACAGTAATAAATATCTCTCTGGGTAGCTGAAGATGACACAAATGTGCCAGAGTAAAATATATCTGGGTTTTGAGTCCTCCAGTCTCCCAAGACCCACGAAGATGTCATTTCAGAAGGTGAGCTGGTGGCATGTCAACTTGGGTACCAGTAACAATCTAGCTGTGACAACACAGGGTTTCCAAAGGTTACACAACCCTTCCTGGGGAGGCAGCAAGTCTTTAGCACCAGGAACACAAGGAAAAAAAGGTGCTGTGGTCAGGCTTTTAGTGGTAGCCCACA